CCTGCTGAAAGAAAAGGTGTCTGTGCATACTGTAGCTCTTCATCTGGCGTCAGGGATTTCCCTTTGATTTGGAAAGAATAATCTTTCAAATTCCGCTATAAAATATACAGGAGGGAGAAAGATTAAGCTCCAGGAATGTGCACTGGTGTTGACATTCGTTCAAATAATGAGCTGAAGGTCATTTTTCTTTAATACTGCTCAGGTGAGTGATCAATTGCTCTAAAGTCTGCATTATCAGCAGTGCTGTTCACCACTGATTTATACAACGTGGTTTAATTTTGTCTCCATCCTTCCAGATATTCAAACGTAGCCAATATTCAGCAGGTACCTCCAAGACAGCAGGAGCAACTCCCCAGCCCCCTCCTTGCTCTCCCCCTGGTTCTGCCCGCAATGTTTATGGTGAATAGCCAGCTATCTCCTCCTTGGCAACCGTCCATTCTTTGCTGTAGCTGGAATTGCCCACATTCGCATTTGCAAACAGAGGCTCACTCAAGTGTTGCTAAAGGAGAGGGGTGGAGCTGAAAAGCTTTAAAAAGGAAAGGGGAGTCACTCTACTTTTCAAAAAGAGAAACCGTGTTTGGGGAGGAATCGTATGTCCATATTTCTTCTTTCAGCCTCATTGAAGGGTCGTGGTTGGAACTTTCCACCAATTCTTTCCTTTTTTTTTCCCCTCTCTCTAGCCTTGGCCCTGTCGCTTTGCCTGTCACAGTGAAGTCCGCGGCAGGCCTCCAGTGCATGGCTGTTAAACTCCGCGAAATTTGTCATAAGGGTGTCAGGTATTTCTTACCGGCTTCCCAAAAACTTCGATAAAGAAATCTTTCCCTGGAGTGTCCCCTTCAGGCTGCATTTTGACGCTGTCTTGAGTTGAAGGAGAAGGAGCTCGAGGGCAACAGGGCAGCAGAGGAAAAGATGCCCCAGGGCCGCAGGCCAACCCGGGTGGCCACGCTGGGGGTCAGACATACCCACCTTGCTCGGGCTCTGCTCAAGCAGAGTCAACTTATTTTCTATTGAGAGTTCAAGCCCGTCGAGATTATGCTGCTGTTCCTTATCATTCTGTTGCCGGTAGTTTTTAAATTTAGTTTTGTTAGCCTCTCAGCACTGCAGCGCTGGAGCTGTCCTGAAGGCTCTCCCTCGGGAAATGGGAATTCTACTTGTGTGGGTAAGTAACCCCATCAAAAGGAGTTCGCGTCTTCCCGGGAACTGCCCTCAGATACCTGTTCATTCTGTCTTGTATACTTGGGCATTTTTTTTTTTTTTTTGGTTTGTCTTTGGGTGTGTATATTTGCTTCCTTTTTGTTTTCTAATGCTGGCTGTTAGAGCTAATCTGCTACTGACTATAAAAATTCATGGCTCTCAAATTGTTCTTCTGTGTGTGAGTGATTAGGTCTCATTTTTAACTAGCTGAACATTTCACATAAACCTCCGTCTTGATTCTGACATGAGGAGTGATTACTTAGTTGATTAGCTTTATATGGGAAACGGGGAAACAGATGGTTTTTTTTTTTTTTTTTTTTTTGAGACTGTCTCTTAAGCCGTGAAGAAAAAAATATCCTCCTTCGGATAAATTTCTTTAAGAACTCAGAGGCTGCTAACACCCAGTGAAAAATGGGAAGGGAATTGGGCACAAAAGTGATTCTATCATTGTGAAAGTTAAGCTAAGTTTCAAGTTAAACCTCTTCCCATCCTCCCTCACTGCTGTTTCTGAAGCTCTGACGCAGCTCCAGTTTTTAGTAACAGGTGCATTGTAATTTTGGGAACTGCTAAGAAATGCTAATATGCCACAACCCCTCCCATATTAAATGGGTTTTTAATCAAGAGTGAGTGGGAATTCTACTGAATGTAAAATAGCAATCCTGAGTAAGGACTTTGCCTGAAAAAAATGTCTCTTCCCCCTGCCCCCTCCTCGATTCATTTAATTTAATCCTTGGGTGGGTCTCCAACCTGCTGCTCAAACAAGTTAGACATTTCCGTCCATTACAGGCCATGAACTGCCCTGATATTCCTTTCTTGGCATTTTGCCCTTCTGAGAAGAGGGCTAGCTCCCAAAAAGAGGTAGATTGAAGGAAATACAGTAAATTTTCCAGAAGAGAAGCCTCTGGAATACAGCACGAAATAGTGGGAATAAAGGGAACACTTCTGAGGCAAACAGCTGTTGTTGGGCTCCTGTCCTGGCCGTCCCGTAAAGGAAGTTACCAGAGAGGAAGTCAGGGCCCTGTCACCAGGCAGCATTTACTGGAACAGGTGAGCAGAGCCCTAGGGTGCTGGAAGGAAGGACTGCGTTCTAGTTATCTCCATGTTCCCAACACCTAGAACATTTCTGCCCTCATAGTGTATGCTCAATAAATTCTTGCTGAATAAATAGAGCTGTGTTTCCCTGGTCTGCTAATCAAGGCCCTGAAGAATAGCAATGAAAAGGGAATGACAAAAGACAAAAATGACCTCGTGAGCCTGTTACACAGCTGTTGGAGACATAGCTCTACACATAGTCATGTCGAGTGGACTGGACCGTTTTGGGGTGGAAATAGTTGGCAAGTGACCAGAGTCAGGCACTGCCATCTGCATGGGATGAGGGAAGATAGTGGGAGCCACTCAAGAAGCAGAACCTGAGACAGCAAAAATAGTACGAAAATGAACTTTTACTCATGGCTTTAGAGTCTCAGGGAACGACCAGATCCCTGCTAGCAAGTGAGTCTGCACCTCAGGCTTCTTGCCCCCCCCCCCCTCCAGTGGCTCAGAAGTGCCTTCACTGAGGCTGGTTGAAGAAATAAACTTGAAGCCCAGGATAGAGACAATGAGTCAGGGGGACTGTGTCACAGAGTGGAAGGAACAGAGATTTTAGAAGCAAACATACCTCATTTCAAATCCATGCTACCTACTTAATAGTTGAGCTACAGTGGAATATTGCTGAAAAATAATAATGCCCCCTTTCAGAATTGTTGTGTGGATTCCATGAGATAACACGGGAAATGCACCTGCCACGGAGGCTAGCAGATTGTGCTCAATAAACGTCCTCTGGGCTCCATATCTTGGCTAAATCTCTTTGATCAAATCCTATCACAAAATGCCTTACTTGAACACTGCAGTGACATGGCACAGACCCCACGGAGGGTGGAATGTCTGGATGCCACTTTGTGATTCTGTCTCTTTGCTCCCTTGCTCCTCACAAGTCACAGGTTTAAAGCCCCTACTTTCTACTCCAGGTCTCCTGTTAGCTGATAACTGCCTGGGTCACACCCTATGCCCCATGCATTTCAGAGGATAGTATTTCTCCTCTCTAAATAGATATGGTGCCATCATCTATTTTTCCTCTAATTAAGTTCTACTTGCCTTATTCCTTGCCCCTGGCATTGAGACAGACCACCTGTAGCCAGCCTGACCCAGCAGGAAGAATGCTTTGTGGTCTGATTCAGGTAACCTTATGCAATGTCGTCTTGCATGTGACTGTGAGCCAGAGAAAATAAGTGATAACAACACAGAACTGGGTTTTCTTCATTTCTTCCCTCCCCTACACCGCCTGCTTTTTTTTTTTTTTTTTTAAATCGACTGTGTATTCTGTTAGCTTCTGTTTGAACTACAGTACATAAGGAGAGAGCAGTAAGGAAAACTGCTGGCCAGTGGCTTCTGAGCTTTCAAGCCTATTTGCCCTGGAGGAGAAATAGCAGTTGAAAAGGAACTGTTCCTGTTTTATATCTGTACCCGCATTATTTAAATGAACTTTCCTGGTAAATAGAGTGAAGAAGTAGTACAGGTCAAGCCTCAGAGAGCTGCTGGCTGCAGGCTGGATCCTGGGGCACTAGTTAGCCGACTGGGGAGGTCACTTTTAGCAGCAAACAGTGAAATCACTGATTTCAGCACCGGTTAAGGCTTGGTCAGCTTCCCAGTCAAGTGCAAACCAGAGGAACTCCATGATCAAAATCTTGTTTGTTTTTTCAGCCAGAGTTATGCAAAAGCTTTTTCAAAATAGTCTAACTGCAAAGAAATTACAGGAATGATCTTTTATGCATACCACGTGAATAAAAGCATCACCTAAATACTCAGCAGTTTGTGGTCTTTGAGGGGTAGTAGAGCTCAGTGGTAAAGAGCTTAAATTTTGGAAACTGCCTGCCTGGGTTCAAGTCCCAGTTCTGCTGCTTGTGAACTGTGTGTCATTTTCCTCAGTATCAAGTAAAGATAACTAACCCCTCCTCCAAGGATTGTTGTCAGGATTGTGTTAAAGTATTTCTTTTCAATGCTGGCTGTACATTAGAACCACCAATGGGGTTAGCATCTGGTCGGTGTGAGTGAGTCAGAGTCCCTTCTGGAGGTGGAACCTGGGCATCCTTTTCTGTTACTCTCCCTTGGTGATTTCTACAGGCATAATGGGCAGCCTGGGTTTATGGCCACTCAGTTAATACATGTAAAGTGCACAAAACAGAGCCTGGCATGTAATAAGCACTCAATAAGTCTTAGCTTCTATTAATTTTTTTATTGTTGTTAACATTATTTTATTGGTGGGAATAGTGGTAGTATCTTCTAAATATGGCTTAGTTTCTTCTATAATAATTGAATTTCTTTTACACATGGAAAAATGCCACGTTGAAAAACCCAATGACAGTTTTATAACATTACAATTTGTAGTCAAAATAATTTCAACATACATAACTTGTATTTCTGTGCTCAAAAGAAATGTTTATTAAAAACTGTATCATACTGTATCATACTGGTTTGAGTGAGTGCCCTTGTGGAACTGCAGCTCCAATATTTGCCTTTCTGTGACATCAACTGGTAAAAAATTCCACTGAGCGCAAAGTAAGTCTGCTTGTTAGATTTCTTACCAGTAGTGATTTTAACAACAGCAAAAACAAGCCACTTGAAAGTATTTAAATTTCTTATGTATTTTTCCTTATGTTTGGAATCAATTTCCCTAAGATTTGTAAAGTTGTTGAGGGCATATAAAGGAATGATAAATTAGTTCTTCAAATGAATTTACATTTTTGGGCTAGTTGGGGGCTGTCCATTTTATTTGACATTCAATTTAGAAGTTGGAAGGTGAGACTTCTTATTTCAGAGTAGAGCAAATAATTGTTTCCCATCGAAAGTAAATGGACTAGTAATTTGGCTTAAGTAAATTCAGAATCTTTATCATCTATAAATTTGCCTTCATAAAAAATCCATTTGAAATAATTCCTTGTATAGAATAAATGGTTGGGCTTTTTTTTTTAAAACTTCAGTAGTCTCCAAACTCCATTCCATCTGTAAAAAAAAGTTAAAATGTGGACATACGTTCCCAAAACACATGTTTATTTATCAGTTACTTACATAATATATATATTGATATTGTGAACATTATACAACACATAACATTTCTAACATTTTCTTTCCACACAATGATGAACCATCTTACAATCTCTAAGCGGTTACACATCCTACTTGGGAGAGACTGTTTCAGAGAACTAGTAAAATGCTGGAATAAATGCTTCCTCCTTCCTCCTTATTAGCTCAGCTCCTTTCACTTAAGCATGAAGAGAAAAGCAAAAAGGTGGCTAAGTTTTTTTTAAAGTAAAGGGGAATTATTTATAGTGAATGACTTTTTTCAGAATACGTAATTGTAGAAATAAAAATTGATCTCCCCAGTTGGTGAACTTAGCGCCCCAGGATCCCTCCTGAAGTAGGGTCGTGCTGAAATTCTGCCATGAGGGCCAGAAGGACAGACCACATCCCTAAGAATGGGTTGGAGTTTCATAAATTCTAAAGCTCTATGGCCTGCTGGGGTCAGAGTATCTTAGGATTTTTAAATTAAAATGGTCTGTGTCTCCATCTCATGTTCTGGAGAAACTCATTGTCTCCCTCCTCTATCCTGGAGGATTGCTGGGCGGGGACGGTGATGTGGAAGGAAAGGCTCTGTGTCCACTTGGTCCTTCCACTGAATTATTGACTACTGTGTGCCTTGCTTCCCTCACGCGCTGTCCCTTTCCCACACTCCATTAACTCACACCCACACCACCCTGTTTCACTTCTCAAAAGAGCCAGTGCCTTGGGCTGTGAGGGTACAAACTTTAACTGAAGGCTTGCAGCCAAAAAAAAGTTATGGTCAGGGCTTCCCTGGTGGCGCAGTGGTTGAGAGTCCGCCTGCCGATGCAGGCGATATGGGTTCGTGCCCCTGTCCAGGAAGATCCCACA